GACAACTGAATTTTGATGCTTCAATCTTGCTCCAATTGTTCAATTCAGCCAACAAGAATTCAATTAGTCCATCTTCCTCCTCGAGACGCATATGTTCCTACTAAAATTGATGATTATGTTAGTGTTTTTCTTCAAAACACAGGTGGTGGTTGTTGGTAGTGGTGATTTGGGTGATGTTGGTGAGGTTGTGTGGCGATAGTGGTGCGGTGGATCTAGGTAGGACGGCGATGGTATTTATTTGATGTGGTGTGTGGTGGGTTGACAGTGGTGGTGGTAGTCGACGGTGGTGCAGGTGGAGGATTTGGTGATTTTGGTTTTCTGTGACTAAAAATATAATGTGACCTTAAAATTCTATAATCTGTGACCAACCATTTTGTTTCATGTGACCTAAAAATTATATAATCTGTGATTGTGAAAAAATTTGTGACCAACTAATTTGAAAATTTGTGACTGTGTGACCTATAAAATTTGATATGTGACCAACGAATTAATTGTGACCTAGAAATTTTTTATATATGACCATTAAAAAATCTGTGACCAACTAATTTGGAAATCTGTGACCTGAAAAAAAAATTGTGACCGAAAATTAATTTTTAACTAATTAATATTAATTAATTAATAAATACCTGATTATTGCAAATTTGAAACTTAACACCTGATTTTTGCAATTATCAAAGCTAATACATGATTTGTGAACTCCTCCTTTCCAATTTCCCAATCATAATGACTTTTTTTCTATGGAATATTTCATAAGTAATAGGTTAGTTTTACCAATTTCAAATTTAAGAACTTAGGTTTAAAATTTAAATTTTATTTATAAATTCATTAATTAAACATATATTTTATTAATTAAATATATTAAGATCACAATTCTATATAATTTGGTCACAAATTATAAATTATTTGATTACAAATTATTTCTTGGTCACAATAAAATTTTTATAGGTCACAAATTATTTCATAATGACAAATCAACAATTTTATAAGTCACAATTTTTTCATTGTTCACAAATTTATAAAATTAGTAAATCACGTATCATTTATTGGTAACAAATCACCAATTTTATATATCACAAATTATTTTAACGTCACAATTCAAAAAATTTATAAGTTACAATTTGTTCATCGGTCACATATCAAAAATTTTATAAGTTACAATTTGTTCATCGATCACAAATCAAAAATTGAAACGTCACAATTATTTATAGGTCACAAGTCACAAATATTACAAGTCATAAATTATCAAATTATCCATCACAAATTAAAAATTTTTAAGTCACACATCATTTTTTGGTCATAATTTATCTTTTTCATTGTTTACAATTTATTTATCAATCACATTAATCAATTTAATTGTCACAAACAACTAAAATAATTTGTAACTACCACCAACACTTGTGACTACCACCTCACCACTGCCACCAACAGCATGGCAACCGAAACCCATCGCCGGAACCACCTCCACCCTATCCTACAATCCAAAAAAATCCCCAACTCTACCATCATTGCCCCGACCACCTCCAACAAATCTCCAACTTCAAATCCACCAATGCCACCACCTCGTCAACACAACCACCAACAAAACCACCGTCATCACCGCATCAACAAGATCCAACAGTCGGTCAAACACTAGATCGCTTCCCAAAAATCAACAAAATCACTGCCCAAAAATCAATAAAATCACCATCCTGCAATGGCGATGATGACGGCGATGGTTTCGACTTGAGAGTGTAGAGATGGCAGTGAAAAGAAAATGGAGAGGAGATGAGAGAAGTGCCGCCGCCGCCATTGTCTACGCCACCACCATTGCTATAACCTCCAATTGCACCACCAACAAAAACCTCAACAATTCATCGCTACACTCACAGCCACCACTACCAAGATCTGAATATTGAGGCAGCAGTATCAATTAACTCTAGCACGTCGGACTATGAAACTGATTACCATCGAAAAATGGGAATTACTCCGATCATCACAATCGCAGATGGTGATTCCAAAACTTCCACCACCACCTTTGCCACCAACAATAATGTCGTTGCCAACGAACAAGACACCAATAGCTCCACCCAGAGGAACTCGCTCTCAACTTGCAATTTCTCCATCCTGAAAACAAATATAATAGAAATTTCTGATGAGTTACAGCTTTTTCCGACGAGAGCTTGTGATTTAGGTTCGCCGTTGACGACGTCTAGGGCTAAATTTTGGTTGAATTTATCGGTGCCGGGGGTTCCAAGAGAATTGGGAATTTACAAGGCGCCGCACCAGCCATCACAGGCTATGAAGAAGAGTAGGTGTGGACCCATGTCTCGGAACTCCCAGTATCCGAGTGATTGTCAAAGCCGAAGCTGGAGCCTCTTTTACTTGTTGATGAGCAGCCGGAGCGAGATGATGTGAGAGAGAGAGAGAGAGAGAGAGAGAGAGAGAGAGAGAGAGACGAGACTGAGGAGAGAAAGAGGGAGAAATGGTGAGATTGTATAGTAATGGTTTATATAAAAATGAAATGTCTGATTTTTGAAAATTGAAACTTAATATCTGAAATTTGAAATTGAATTTTGAAAACACTGATTTTATGTAATTTCCTCTTTTTTCTATGCACATTAGAAAGTGAAAGTTATGCAGTTCGACTTTAACAATACTTAGAGATTGGTGAATATATATGTAATGCGGAATTAGAAATATTTTAACGAATTAAATGGCAACAAGTCACTTTTTAATTCTTTTCTAAATGATTCAACGTTCAATTCAGTTTATCCTAAATTGAATTACCGCAATTGTATAATAAACAATGAATAGTAAAGCAGTAAATCAAACACCGGAATAATCACGGAGAAACCCAACTAGGAAAAACTCTGGACACTTTGTCAGTCAACAACAATATGTAACTTACAATCTACCAGTCTAGATGACGACATGTACTAATTGATCTTCTGACTGCAATTCTAACAGTTTTTCTGGATTCTGTACTCTTACACTACTACAGCTGCAGTTTTCAAAACTCTCATGGATTCTGCTATCCTACAACAAGTCCTAACTTCTGAAGAATACCACGTTCTTCACAGACGGAACTCTAGTCAAATTTTCGTGATATTCAAAACTCTGATCAGATGTAGAGGAACAGCAATTTGGTATTTGATTATTGAACTGATGCTTTTCTCACCAAAACTCCCACAGATGAAGGTTAAAAAAATCAAACATGAAGGAAACACTCTGTAGCATTTTTCTCAATGTTTAGCCTCATAAATCACGTTCAAATATGTTTTTGTATTTATAGGTAGGTTAGAAAAACGAATGAGTAAGGGAAAAAGCCTTTAAAATGCGAAATAAAAATTTACCGAATAAAGTTGTTGCTCGAGCGAGAGCTCAGCGACAGTCGAGCTACAGACTATCGCTTAAGCTAAGGTAGGGTGACAGTCAAGCCAAACCTTGGCGAAAGTCTAGCGAAAAGCCGCGCCGTTTTCCTCTTTTTGCCATTTTCGAACCCTAGACCTAAAAAATATATTTTCAACGTATTTGAACAATACTCCTTGAATTTTTACAATATGTCAATTTCAGTCTTTTTGTTCATAGAATCGCCAATTATAAATAATCTAAAACCTAACAGAATGCTTTATGATGAACCAACAATGAATACATGTATAACTTGACCATAAATTATTTGTGAAACACAATCATCATATCCTTTGCATTAATAAATAAGGAGCAACAATCAGACCAGACTCCATATTAACTCGTGAGCTACTTCATTTTCCTCTGAAGGAATAAAGCAACAAGGATACAAAATCTATGTGACGGTCTGACGGATCCAAAAGCATTCAATGGTGGACAATCAGATGATTAAATCTATGATCCACCAAATTTTAGTGAAGATGAGAACTTTAATGAATCAAGATGCTAGGCAAGCATGTCTAACGGTTCGAGCCACTTGAATAAGTGTGAGTAGCCTCCATTATTTTGATATAGTCCCCCAAGACACGAAGTGATGAGATAGGTGCAAATAATCATGAATTTTATGTACTTCCAAGATTGAAATAACGGCTACGGGCAATGATGATGATGATTAGACTCATTAGGCTTTTCAAGGTCAAGATGACGCACCACCACGTGTGCATAAGAGGCACATCTAAATCTGGACCCTTCATTTGAATAAAAATTTGGTGACCATTAGTATTCAACGGATGAGAATAGGCGAGGCTTCGTATGACCTAAAGAGATTTATGGCGATTCCAAGTGATTTTCCACGAAGATACCTACTTTGGTGAAGTAAAAAACCAAGATTTTGGCTAACTCTACAATTTTAGGTACGAAATCCTAAACTCAGTGTTACGTTGAAACCATAAGCATACAAGATTGTTGACAGGTAATAATAAAATGAATTGTGATTTAACGTCTCACGAGGAATAATATTTGATCCTAGTTCACTGGTTAATACTAAATTCGATGTTTGTGACACAAAAGATATGATTTTATTGTTATTTATACTAATCATAAATTAAGAAAATAAACAAAGTATTTATCTCATATGTGCATATTTGTATTGAAATCTTGAATCCCGCTATTGCTTTTTAGTTCAATTCTTAATTCATAATCAAATAAATTCATATATTCAAAACAACCAATAATTCATTTTTATTCAATTTTTTTTTTTCAAAATATATTAAACATATGTTTTACATGACCCAACCATATTGTTAGTCCGAATTCATATGAAAAACATGCATTGATTTACATGATTTATCTTATAATTAAATTAAACAAGAATAATTGGAAAAAATACCCGAAAATAAGGAAGATGGAAGAAGTATGAGAAATCCACGTTCTTAGCTCAAATCTTGAAACCGGACAATGGATTTTCAAAATCCTTGTATATTTCACTTTAAAATGATCTATAGATTTGTTCTTCACCTCCAAAATATGTAGAATATGATGAAATTTAGGTCGAATAGTGGTTCACTACGTTTTGGTTGAGTTTTGGCATTTAAAAGATGCCCAAAAGATTGTATTAAATTTTTACTAAAACAAAAATAAGAAAAATTGGATTTTTCCCGTTTTATATTGAGGCACATGTCCGAACCCTTTAGGAAACCTTAGGCGTCTCAGAAGAGGAGGAGGCATACAGGGCTATGCGCGCTCCTAGGCTTGTCTCGAGCAGCTTTCAGTATTCCTCTCAACTTTCTTTTTCGATATTCGATTGAGGTGATTTAAAGTGCGTTGAAAAATTAATTCAAAGAGATACAAATTTTCTGGAAATAACATTTATCCCATTCGAACGTTTGCTATGCCAAAAATGGGTTGCAATCTAGGATCGAAAATTTAGAGCATAACTCTTTCGGCTAAATATTGATGTTTGATAATATTTTGACTATATTTCATACATTTGACTTCTTTTCTCATCCAATTGACACATATTACTCTCGAATCTCCATCTTAAGGTCCGTCATAACTTTTGATTATTTGCACTTTAGTCTTCGAACTTTGGATTTTCTTTATTTTAGGCCTTTTTCATTTTTTTCCTTCCAATTCTTCATCCAAATATGAGTTTTTTACTAATAAAAGCAATAAATAACAAATTAGGCACTAGTCCGTTCAAATAATAACAAAATATCATCATTTAGGACCCCGAATAAGTGTAGAAACTACACTTATCACTCGGTTTTTGAATTCCAATTTCTACTTTTTATTAGTACCTTTTCTTCAAAAAACACCTCCAACCCTAAATGACATCAAATCCTCGATCCTAGATCAAGCCAACTCTTGAAAAGTATTAAAGTGTAAAGCTTCTAAAAAAGAGGCGGTGTTTTATAAACATGTCAGACGTGAGGGCCATCTAAAGGGTAGAGGTGATAATAGGATTGGAGTTGGCTATAGTGTTAGCCGATGGGGCTAATGTGGCAAATGTTGGCGATTTTCTTGTTGGGGTCTGGTGAGGGCTGTAGAGGCACAATCAGATATGATGGAGGAACATCTAAACACATAAGACCTTCCTCATCCTAAATGACATCGAGCTTCTAATCTCTGAAGCTTAAGAAAGGACACGTTATTCAAGAGCAGAGGTAACGTTGAAGGTGTGCGAGTTAAGTGATCGCAAAAGACCTCAACATTGTAGAGTAACAAAAAAATTTGTTATAGGTGTATATTTATGTATAGCTATATATTTTATTATTAACAAATTTTAAAATAATAATACAATTCTTAAAGGGCACAATATTTATGGAAAAAGAGTAAAAAAATAAATTAAAATTATATTAATCTATTATGTTAATATTTTCTTAAATTAACATATTATTCAAAAAAAAAAAAAACCATATTAGAAGGATATATTTTTATTACATGAAACATGCACGATTTAATTTTTTTTATTGGTGCCGATAAATTTTTCTTAATTACATGAAATGAGCACCATTTTAAAATGTCACACGGAGCACCTAAAATCTCAAGGCCGACCTTTTCCGATGGAGGGTGTGTAACTGCTTTATGGGACATCATGTTTGCTGCCGCTGGGATAAATTACATCTTCATCCATCCTTCAAGAGAGTGTTGAGGGCACGTGGTCTAGCGCCAATACAAGTTACCCTTAACAGTTGGAGCCAAATGGCGTGGCCTACATGTTATTTAGCATATGTTTCTCTTCCATTAAATAAAAACTCATTTTTTATCAAATTCATTTTCAATCACACATTCACGCAATGAAATACATTACATATAAAATCTAAAACTTTTTCCTAAATTTTAGTTACACATTAACAGAAAATCACTATTCTAAAACTCGATTTTCTCAAAAACTCTTTTTAATTCTAGATTTATATAGAAATTTTTAATTTTTTAATAAATATGCACAAAAAACAGAAGATATACTTCGCGCCTTCGATACTTTAGGCGCCCTACATGAAAATCTTTGCTCTATTAATGTTCGTCTATAACAATTTCTCCTTTTTGGTGATTCAATAATATTAACCTAACTATGAGAATTAGTATATTTGACATAGTCATTTGATACTAATGCAAAATGTAGTGCGTCTGATATATTTGGCACAAATGGTTAGTAATTAATATCAATATACATATTTTATATTTTCCAAAAATTCTTTTCTTTTAAAAGAATTAATTTTTATGTCTGTCTCAATAAGCAATTTACACATGATTGTATCTATCATTGGCTACCTACATTAATTCCTAGTATCCATCATATGTTGTGACATTTAGATAGGTTGTCTCTATCAACTAACCATTATGGAACATTTTTCACAATCTTGTTCATACATACATACATACATACATATATGTTGTTTTTAATTTTTTTTATTAAACTACCAAATTTAGTGTGGTGTTTGGCATGAAGTTGTATCAATTTGCGCAAAGAAAAGAATAAAAACTTATCGAGATCGACTAAAAACTTTAACTAATGAGTAAGAAAATACAATTTTAAGTAAGTTTCTGCTCGGTTTAGATAAGATTGGCTTTTCATAAAAGTTGATGGAATGTGTAGTTTGAAAATTTATGCATCCCAGAAAATATATTATTAAAATTAATCATTAAATTTAATTTAGATTTTAATTCATTTTTGCAACTAAACCAAATTGGGGGCTTTGTTTGGAGTTTATTTGGAAGGAAAGTAATAGAGTAGTTAGGTGCCCCTACTCCTTGATATTTGGGCTGTCAAAAGCAGATTTGAGGCAGCTTAATATCAGACATGGCCCATATGGCCGGACCACGCTGATTTTTTAACTCTCTTTTGCCTTCAAACGCTCCCTTTTTTACCTGAGGATCTGACCGTTGGAAATTATGTTATGTTTTTCAATTTAAGAACTGATTATTATAAAAATTTACGGAAATAGTGGAGTATTTTATCGGTGATAAGTTAAAATAAGTTTGTCTTAATAAATTTAGTTACTGATTGAATTTCCATTAATACATAAAGTAACAAAAATATAAACAATTAATTTAATTTTTAGAAAATTTTGCACACAATTAAGTAAGACTCCAAAGAATAATTTAAGATTACGAACAACGTTTTAGAATCAGGATTGTCGTAAACTTATTTCTACTTTGAAAAATACAAGTTTACTAATTTTGTGTACATTCTAATATTTAAAAAATACAGTACATTCTATCACATTTCTCGTTTATCAAAGCGCTACTAAGGTGGCCACCTTATTCTTCACTTTGTTGTTAAACAAATAAACATCGTTTTCACATTAACCTAATAATGATGAAATTTAAAAAAAAAAGATTCAACTGATCAACCTAACAGCTGTAGTGGGTGGGGGAATAGAAATTGCATTTCTATGCAAAATAGTCTTGCCATTGAAGTAAAGTTAGTTGAAGTTAGCCAAAGCCATTGAGTACACAAGTGCCCAACCTGCCTGCCTCTCACATAACATAAACCTTTCATCATCAATCATCATATCAAAAGATAAGTAAATTATAAGTACACAAAAGCTAAAAGGCTAGCACCTAAAATAAAAAAAAAGTTATAATCTGTTGCAAGCAAGAGACAGATTCAAAGTTCAATAACCACAACTCAACAGATAGAAACTGTAAAAAAGGAAAAATAGAATGAAGGAAAGTATAATTTTTTGCTGTCCTCGGGGAGATATAGGCTAAACTCTAGAGTCCAGAAACAGAAAAAAATTTTACACACAAAATATCGAAGCTGTCTGAAAGGCTTTTGAAAGTTGAAGTAGTAGTTAAGGTAATTTTATTTTTTCCCCTTTTTTTGTTTAGTTTCTTCAATTTCATGCATAGGATTCTTGGGTTTGTGCCAATTTTACTGGTAAATTTTGGGAAAGTATGCTCTTTTCTTCACTAATATTTGTTGGAAAGTTCTTTATAACCTCTTCTCTGAGTAAACTTCCCTTGCTTCTCTCTTGAATTACTGCATGATTGTTTTTACTTTGAGTTAGCAAGTTCAGGTTTTCTCCCAGAATATCAGTTAATGACTTTAAACTGTTACAAAAATGATTTCCATTATATTATTTACATGAATCATTTCCATGTGCAAGACCTTTGTGTGTATTTTTAGGTTGAATCACATCTTCTTAAAGCTTGAGCTCAACTGGTTAGAGAGTCGACAAATTTAATTATTGTCTTTAACATGTCTCTTCACGTACGTGTGCTATAATTATTCAAGAAATTTTGGCTGTTTATGTTTCTTATTACTATTCAGTCTCCTTTTTAATTATTTGGATCTTACCAACTAAACTGTCGAATATTTTCTGCTTATCTAGAGAATATCAGTAATGCTAGAAACATGGGAAAGAAGGGAAGCTGGTTTTCAGCCCTCAAAAAAGTTTTTACACTCAAATCAAAGGAGAAGCCAACAAGTGTAAGTTTATCGTCTCAAATTCACAGTGAAGAGCTTATTTCTTAGCCCAAATCAACTAGTTTTCTATAATATTTTGTGGAGTACACACAACGTCTTAGATGCAAGTTAGCATCATAAAAGAAGCTACTAAACTTTTAAATTTCAAGAATCTTCTAACTGGCACAAACTATTGTAGGAATCAAATAAGAAAAGCATTAAGGAAAAGAAGAAACTGCGAGGAATATTAAAGCATGGAGAGACGAAATCATTCATTCCCCTGTTCCGGGAGACAAGCAGTATTGAGCAAATATTGGGGGAAGCAGATCAGCTGCTTATTAGGCATACGACTACATCTTCTGGACAGCCAATAACTCCAACTTCTGTACCGGGAAGGCCTTCCTCGTCCCGGGTTGCTTCACCTAGAGCTTCTTCACGTAATTTTCATTCCCCGAAGGTTGCTTCTCCAAGAGCTACTTCTCCTAGGTTCTCCTCCCTGAGGCCTATTTCTCCAATAGTAGTTCCTCCCCGGGCTGTTTCTCCCAAATCTCTTTCTCCTAAGGTAACTCGAGTACGTGAGGAAATTAGCTATGCTTACAGGCCGGAACCAACTCCAGCGAACCAGCACCTTTCTGCAACTAAGATCCAGGCAGCATATAGAGGTTACCTGGTAATCTTCTAACTCAAATCATCTTATAAAATTTATTTGTAGAAAACATCTGCATATTCACCTATTAGTTAGTGTGACTTTCATGTTAATCAAACTGCATATGTTTTACTACGTAAATGACTCGTGGAGTTCATTTGATCTTTGGGATTTTCACACTGTAGGAAAGGAGGAGTTTCAGAGCTTTGAGGGTGTTGGTGAGGCTTCAAGGAGTGGTAAGAGGCCAAAACGTGAAGCGACAAACAATGAATGCGATGAAACAAATGCAACTCTTGGTTAGGGTTCAAACACAAATTCAATCACGAAGGATTCAAATGCTAGAAAACACAGCACTTAAACGCCAAGCTTACAGGAATGATGTTGAGAGTACCCTGAGCAAATGGTCCCAGAACCAACAGGTGACTTACAATTAATCATGACTGCGTGCCTCTGAATCATAGTTGTTTTGGCTAATAATTTGATCTACTCTTCTTTCCATGTTAAATGGACGCTATTATTGTAGACGGAGGCTGGTCAGAATGAAGATTGGGATGATAGCTTGCTAACTAAAGAGGAAATAGAAGCCAGGATGCGGAAAAAGGTGGAGGCAGTCATTAAGAGAGAGAGAAGCATGGCCTATGCATATTCTCACCAGGTACAATGGGAACACTTCCTTTTCTTTAGCCGAATTAGGAACTAATTAACTGTATATTGAAATTCATTTTTGACTTCCTCTGATATCAGTTATGGAAAGCAAATCCCAAATCGACTCAAACAGCTCTTGAAATCCGATCCAGTGGATCACCCTGGTGGTGGAACTGGTTAGAACGTCAGCTGCCTATAATTTCCGATGGCCAAGTTGCTGCGAAAAATATTACTCTAACTCCTCCAATGCCAATTTCAGAACACAAGCCAAGCCCACTACTTCATGCAGGCAACTATAAGCACAACAATTTCGGTTTTGACGGTCATGAAACTCTTACACCAAAGTCATCAAAATCTACAATCCCGGTTAGAACCAAACAAATGCATACTCCGACTAGGACACCTCTACCTGCAGCGAACAGCTCAACTCGTATGAAATATTCAAAGCAGAGATCAAGTGCCGCTAATTCGCCTTATGATGTTCCATTGAAAGATGATGACAGCCTCACGAGTTGCCCTCCGTTCTCTGGTCCAAGTTACATGGCACATACTGTCTCAGCTAAAGCCAAAGTGAGGGCCAACAGCAATCCGAAGGAGAGAATTCCACGAACTCCAGGTAACGATTCAAAAAGGGGGTTTTTATTTCCCTTGACTCCATATATCGGGCCTTTCAAGTGGAATAAAGGATCAAACAAAGATTCTACTTCTCAAAGGACATTGGAAAATCACCTGCCTATGTATTCTATAGGAGACTTGAGTGTGGATTCGACTGTTTCTATGCCTGCTACAGTTGGGAGAAAGCCATTTAACAGATTTGTGTGATTTCTTTTTATATAACTCTACTGTTTGTTAAGGTTTGCCTTAACTTTTTCAAGTTTTTTTAAAGTTTTTTCGTTTTCACATACGGATGGCATTGATTTGTGATATCTTTGTAATGAATATGTAGTCTTGAAAACGATATTTTCCCCGTCTTGTCTTGAGATTGCATATGGAATTCCCCGACAAATAGCTAGAGGATTTCACAAGCCTTGGTGAGTTTGCATCACATGAAGATGAAAAACTCACAAAGGAACAATTTGTAAAAGAGGCGTCACATCACGAAAATGTGCGAATTTTTGCACCAAAAATGAGCATGTTTGGCAAAGCTTAAATTATAAGATTCACAACTTACTATCAACTTATTAACCACACATTCGGTAAGATGGACAATTTATAAGTACATAAAAGCGTTGTCAAATAGGCAAATAGTGTTGCGGGTAGGGATGGTAAAAAAGCTCGGCGGCTCGGACGGC